GCAGAAAGAAGATGCTGACTTCGACTGCTGTGCGCTACCTGAAGCGTAGAGTGGAGAGAAGTCCCCGTGTGACTGCTGAGGAACTGAGAAAAGATTTGTCAGATGTGGGTACAGAAGTTTCAGCCCAGACAATAAGACGCACACTGCGTAATGAAGGCCTCCGTGCCAGAACTCCCAGGCGTACCCCCTTGCTGTCTCCAAAGAATAAGAAGAGTCGACTGCAGTATGCCAAAAGCCATGTGGACAAACCACAAAAGTTGTGGGATAGTGTTCTGTGGACTGATGAAACAAAATTAGAACTGTTTGGGCCCATGGATCAACGCTATGTTTGGAGGAGGAAGAACAAGGCCTATGATGAAAAGAACACCTTGCCTACTGTGAAGCATGGTGGAGGGTCAATCATGCTTTGGGGCTGTTTTGCTTCTGCAGGTACAGGGAAGCTTCAGCGTGTGCAAGGTACCATGAATTCTCTTCAGTACCAGGAGATATTGGATGGAAACGTGATGCAGTCCGTCACACACCTGAGGCTTGGGAGACGTTGGACCTTTCAACAGGACAATGATCCCAAGCATACCTCCAAGTCCACTAGAGCATGGTTGCAGAGGAAAGGCTGGAACATTTTGGAGTGGCCATCGCAGTCACCAGACTTAAATCCGATTGAGAACCTCTGGTGGGACTTAAAGAAAGCAGTTGCAGTGCGCAAGCCTAAGAATGTGACTGAACTGGAGGCCTTTGCCCATGAAGAATGGGCGAAGATACCCGTAGATCGCTGCAAGACACTTGTGTCAAGCTATGCTTCACGTTTAAAAGCTGTTATAACTGTAAAAGGATGCTGTACTAAGTACTAAGATTGAATGTCACTTGGGGGTTGAATAAAACTGATAATGCTGTGAGCACAGAAAAGACATTTGTGGTTATTTCATTATAACTGTTATGTTATATTTGTCTGACCTACAAGTGCCTCTTTAATGTAAATGTAAGCAAGATGACTGAATGATCAAAAGCAATGTCAAACTGGCCAAAACACTCAATTTCAGTGGGGGTTGAATAATTTTGGACACAACTGTATATATGGACAATTTTTATACAAGTGTGCCACTGTTTAGACATTTGTACAATCTTGGAATTGGTGCACGTGGCACCGTGCAACCTAATCGCTAAGGCTTCCCCCAACGGCTTGTAGATACCCTTCTTAGAAAGTGGGAGAAAGCCTGCTTAAAAAATGATGAATTGCTCGCAGTGAAGTAGAAGGACAAATGAGATGTTTTCGTCCTGTCTTCCATTCATGCAGACACAACCGTCCAAATTTCCATGGCAGCTGGTGCTGTTGAGAAGCCCCTCTGTGTCTATGACTATAACCTTAACATGGGAGGGGTGAACTTCAGCGACCAGGTGATGAAGCCATAGTTAGTTTTCCATAAAGCCAGATGCTGGTACAAAAAAGTGTCTGTTTATTTACTTCAATTGGCTCTGTACAACGCTTTTGTGCTTTACAAAGCAACTGGTTGAAATGGATCCTTCCTAAAATTCCAGGAAGAGATCATCACAGTACTTTTGTATCCATAAGGTGCTGTAGCCCAAACCCCAAACCCAGATGCAGTAAGCCATTTTCCTGATGCCATTCCTGGTACCCCAACCCAAAAGTCACCCCAAAAAAGATGTCTTGTCTGTAGCAGACATAGAATTATGCATGACTCATGCTTTTTTTGTCCCTCCTGTCCTTGCCCACTTGGTCTCTTCCTCAAGAACTGCTTCCGTTGCTACCATATACGAGTATTAGTATAGGGTACAGTATGGCACAGTCTAAGGCACAAATATACACGGTCTAGGAAGATGTTAGGAAACTGGTTATCACATTTTGAGAGACCTTAACATCTGGAGTTTACAATTTGAAAAAAAAGTAAAAAAAAATTAAAAATAATAAAGTAAACAAATAAATAAATAAATAAAAAAAACAAGACATGCAAAATACTCACCATCCCTCTTATTAAATTCCTTGGGTCTACTTTCCAAATAAGGTGTCATTTGTGTGTGTGCGTGGGGGGGTGCTATCCTGGCATTTCAGGGTCTCCAAAACTGCTGGATCGATACAGGATTTAGGTAGGTGTTTGGGGGGGGGGGGGGGCAGGGGGTGAGGATAACAATGCAGGTAAAAAAAAATTATATATATATATATATATATATATATATATATATATAAAAGTTTTAGCTATACAACTACTTTAAACAATTTTTCTAGAGCACAGTCATACGAGAATTCAGAGTTTACCATTTGCTTGCAGATGCAGATTCTACCACTTTGTTTTATGATCATATTTTTTCTTTTTCTAAGGACCATAGCACCATACTACAGATTTTATGGTATCTCTGAAGTTAGATGTAATCATTTTATGTCTTCAATTTAATGCAAATGCAAGCATTTTTCTGAATTCAGTGAGACAGATAAACATACTATCTCTTCTTTTCTGCCCATACCATGGTACAGAGGGCTTGAATTTGTAATTTTAGGATCGCAAGTATCAACATTAAGAACCCAATTGACAGATCTGGTTCCTATGTGATAAAAATCTAGTAAAATGAATGCGTCATCTAAAAGTCTTTTAGACTTTTAGATCCTTTTTTAGTACACATCTGGTAAAGAACACAATAGTAATACAACTCTTGGGGGAAATTATGTCTTCCTGATTTCAGTGTTGTTGTCCGAACATTCTTGAGTGCACATTTGTGGTTTTATAACATGGTTATTTAAAAAGAACATGATAGTTATATCATAAAACACATAGTTTTGATCTCTGGTTAGAACAATGTTATCTGATTTATTTACATCCATGGAGAGATTTGTAGACACCAAAATAAACATCCATGTTCCGTTTTAATCTGCCCTAACATTGTGAGTTTATTTCCAGTAATTCACTGAAACGTCTGGATACATTTAGCAAAACAGACGGGTCATATGATAAAACACATGAATACAATGAACATCTGCTTCAGTGCACACATTGAGATGAAGATAGGCTATTTTCTGTTTACCCAATAAGTTTAGACATGATATCTCAGACTAAGGAATTTGCTTTAAATTGGCCATTTGCCTAACTGTCAGAACTAATAGGATATATGTGAGTAGCAGAAACTTTGGTTTCAGTGGATTGTTGTTTCTATTTATTCTAAAATAAAAATACAGTATGTTAAAGAGAAACAAACTAGCTGTTTTACTTCAATTTTTGTTTTTCATTTATATTTATGTCATCTTTGTATCACTATGCATAGAATCTTTGTTTTATACTAAAATATTTATTACAGACACCACCTGTGACAAAGGATTCCTGCAGCATTATGGGTTTTCTAAAAAGAAAGAACAACAGAAGCTGTTTCCTTTTAAATGTGCTGCTCCTAATTAATACCTCAGAAGGAGCTGTAAAAGTGGAGGTGAGTAATGAGTAGTCACTCGTCTGACTCATTCAGGAAAAGTATATGAAATGAAGCCTAAATCTCCATCAGCTGGCTGAATATGAGAATACACAATAGGCAGTACTTCCTATGTAACTAGCAAATCAGTTTGACTAAAAAGAATATGTTATAATATAGTATTTTTTAGCTTAGAAAAAGAAATAAAATGTGTACAAAATCTTTGAATACTTTATATCCTTTATTGAGTCAACCAAAATATATTTGAAATCTAAAGAAATGATATTTCTTTAGCTTTTGAGAAAAAACTGGTGAGCTCAAATCTCTAACGGGTTCCTTATCTTTCTTGAGGACTCCAGGGACAGACTCTATCCTTCAGCGGTCCTGTCTCTAAGACCTACAACTGCCATCACAAGCAAGAGTGTCTTATTTTATTAGTCAAATATTGTAATTAATATTTAGTAAATGTGATTTATTTTGTAGTTATCATGTGGACAAATATAGTATTTAGTTTAACGTTTTTGAGAGCAACTCAGAAATAAAGAAATCTGAAAACATGATTCAGAGCTAAATAGAAAAGATGACCAGGCAAGAATACTGTACATACTTTATATGAGTTATGAAAACTATCATAAAATCTTTTTGGGGTAGACAGAAAGATAGTCCTTTATGGCTCTATGACCAAAAGGGTGAAGTATTTTCGTAAGATGTAGCTTCTGTGGGTGTGGAGTAGATATGGTTCCCATGACATGGGAAGGGGATGATGAGGATGGGAGTGGGCTACTAAGGAAAGTGGAGAGGAGATAGATTTTTAGGAGGTCTGGTTTTTTTTTAATTTTTGCTTTGTGAATGTTTGTAATGTGTGTAATGTCAGTTTCTATTTGTTGCCCTTTGCCAGGTGAACATAACATTCCCTAACATTCAATCCTAAAACAAATATAGACATAAAACATTCATCAATAGAGAAAATAGTCTAACACTTAAGGGTAAGAACATTTGACTAGCAGGGGAAATAATATGAGGGAGATCTCAGCACTGTGTACAGTCTATTGAGATTTCTGTGCAAATGGCAGAAACAAAAAATAAAAAGTATTGTCCATAATACTTTTTTATTTGCACTAACATACAATTGTTTGGGACAAGCTTTCGGGGTATGTCCAAGCAGTACTAATACACAAAGTTTTAGCAGAATGCTGAAGTAAGACAATATCTGAGGGGAAAAAAACACAATCAAACATACACAACAATGATAATTAAACTGGGATAGTTAGTGAGATAGGACAGAGAGAGAGAGAGAGAGAGAGAGAGAGAGAGAGAGAGAGAGCTATAAACTGAAGACGGGTATTTATAGACACAGAGGGGGTCGTAAAAGTGTTCTAAATTCAGCCCATTAGATTTTGTGTCAAATAGAGTTATCATTCTTAGTTCAAAAATTTCCTTTCCTGAGTGGTTTTTGTTATTCCCTTTAACCACCTTCCGCCTGCCCTATAGTACAATGACGGGCGCAAGGTGGTTCTCTCGTTCTGATAGGACGTCATATGATGTCCTTCCATTCTCACCGCGCATGCGCGGCTCAGGGAGCGCGCAACGTGGCGATCACCGGTGCGCTGTGTCCCTCGGACACAGCGGATCATGGAAAGAGCCGAAGATGTCGGCTCGGTCATGTGATCAGCTGTGTCCAATCACAGCTGATCACATGTAAACACGGAAATGCCGGTTATCGGCATTTCTCTCCTCTCGAGAGGAGAGGAGAGGCGGTAATCGGCTTTCCGCGGAGGGGACATGTACACTGATCATCAGGGCACTGATGATCAGTGTGCCCTGATGATCAGTGTGGCCCCAGAAGTGCCATCTGTCAGTGCTCATCAGTGCCACATGCCAGTGCCCATCAGTGCCACATCAATGCCACATATCAGTGCATACCAGTGCACATCAATGCCACATATCAGTGCCTATCTGAGCTGCCTTTCAATGTCACCCATCAGTGCCAGTCAGCGCCACCTATCAATGCCAATCATATTAATGCCAATCAGTGTCACCTATCAGTGCCACCTATCAGTGCCAGTCAGTGCCGCCTATCAGTGCCACCTAACAGTGCCAGTCAGTGCCGCCTATCCGTGCCAGTCAGTGCTGCCTATCAGTGCTGCCTATCAGTGCCGCCTATCAGTGTCATATATCAGTGTCAAGTATCAGTGCTGCCTTTCAGTGCCCATCAGTGATGCCTGTCAATGCCCATCAGTGCAACCTACCAGTGCCTCCTCATCAGTGCCCATCAGTGCCACCTATCAGTGTCCAACAGTGCAGCCTATCAGTGCCCATTACTGCAGCCTCATTAGTGCACATCGGTGAAGGAGAAAAATCACTTATTTACAAAATTGTATAACAAAAACTAAGAAAAAAAGTTTTTTTTTTCAAAATTTTCAGTGGTTTTTGGTTTGTTTAAGAAAAAAAAATCCCAGAGGTGATTAAATACCACCAAAAGAAAGCTCTATCTGTCTCAAAAAAAATGATAAAAATTTCATATGGGTACAGTGTTGCATGACCGCGCAATTGTCCTTCAAAGTGTGACAGCACTGAAAGCTGGAAATTGGCCTGGGCAGGAAGGGGGTATAAGTGCCCTGTAGGCTATTGGTTAAGAACTAAAACATTGAGGTCTTCCATAGTATGGTCTGATTGTCAGAAATTATGCCCCACAGGTGTGCAGAAATCATCTTCCTTACCTTCCTTGATGGTATGTATATGGAAATTCATCCTTGTTTGTAACTTCTGTCCTGTTTTGCACACATAAGATGAATTGCTACATTTGTGCATTGGATGAGGTACACAACATTACTGGAGGTGCAGACGTATGATCCTGTGACAATGACGATCTCATTTTAGTATGTGATGCTTTTTGATAGATTCATTTGGCTGCACAGTTTACATCGTTTTTGTTGCAAGGCCTAGTTCCTTTATCTGTGACTTCATAATCAGAATGAGTTTTCCTACTGATTAGTTTATGTCTGGGGTTGGGTGGTTGTCTGAAAGCCAGCATAGGGGGTTGTTGGGATATTTCTTTCAGAGTTTCATCCTCTGTTATAACAGGTTGTAAATCTTTGATTATCTTTCTTATCCCTTCTAATGCTGGATTGTATGTGTTTACTAGAGGTTATTTGTTTTTTTTGCTCTTTGTACTAGAAATGTTCTCTTCAGGTTTTCAAGGCTGTGTTTATGAAGGTATTGATTGTTTTGTCCTCGTAACCTTTCTTATGGAAAGGGTCTGCTAGTGTTCTGAGATGTTTATTTCTGTCTTCTGGGTCTGAACATATTCAGTGATATCTGATAGCCTGGCTGTGGCTGATGGCATGTTTAGTGAGTTGGGGGAGAAAGCTTGAACTATGGAGTTAGTTTAATCTGTTAGTAGCTTTCCTGTATATTGAGGTGTGCAGTTTTTCTCCCTTGATGTATGCTGTAGTGTCTAGGAAGTTGACATGTGTATTTGAATAATCCATTTTTAGTTTGATTGATGGATGAAAGGTGTTGATCAAGGAGCAAAATTGTTTTAGATTTTCTTTATCTTCTGTCCATATGATAAAAATTTCATCCATATAGCAAGAGTTTCAATAAAGCTTTTGTGGTATGCTGTTCAGGAATTTGTCCTCTAGGTCATCCATAAGTATGTTTGCATATTGTTGAGTCATTTTACTTCCCATAGCATAACACCAAAGATAGATGTCATTATTTTAAAGTGAAGTAGTTGTTGTGTGTTAGAATGAAATCAGTGAGCTGTGTAACATCCTTAGCACTGTATTTGTGGTTTGGTGAGGATGATAAGAATATTTGACATGCAGCCAACTCATCCTTGTGAGGGATGTCACTATACAGAGATTCTACATTCATAGTGACTAAAAGTATGTTTGATGGTAATTACTGTATAGTGCTGATCTTGTTCAGAAAATCAGTTGGATACCATCAGGAAACTGGCAGTATTTATGACTAATAGTTTTAATACTTTTTCTAGAAGGCCTAGGTTCTGCCTGGATTTCCTGGCCTGTGGATCTTGGGCAATATGTAGTAGTTCCCAATTTTTCTGTTTTTTCCGGAATTGCACTGATAAATTCTGAATGTAGGTGGGTTTTGTGACAGAACACCTGTCACCCCAATTGGGTGATTCAGTCAGACAACTGCTTTCTCGCAGCTGGGACACAAGACCAAGGTATTACAAGGGCAATCCACCCAAGACTAGATGCCACTGGAACTACTTTATTGAACAGGAGCACAGGTTTTTATATACTTCAGAAATAGAGGAAGTCCCCACATGAACAATAAAACAAATATTACACATGTTGACAAACATCCCACACTGATTAGGTAAGAGCTTGATCACATTATTCTAAACAATGCAAACAGTAAACAATACAGCGAACAGTGCTCTAATTAACAGTAAGATAATCAACAGCCAAGCACCCAGACAGTTCTTTCTTTGATTAATCAGGAAGTCCATCCCAGACAGACCAGTAGCAACCCAACCATGAATACACAAGTGCATTACACATTCTGTCTATCAGGTGTTTGCTTTCACTTGTATATTCTGTCCATCATAAGAAAAAACTCATACAATAATTAACAGTTTAACAGATTGGAATTAATAGATTTCTTGAGAGAGATTAATGATAAATATTTCTGACCCAAATAGAGGATATTCTCTAACCCAGTCTGCATGAGAGCCATTAACCTATGTAAGATTAATATTACACCTTTTCATCCACTCTAGAGGGGAAGATGTATTGTCCATGCAGAGAAATGATCCCAGCCTTGCTCTCAGCATTCATCTTGTTGTCCATCATTAGAGAATGATCTGCTCTCTTCATGGGCCATAATCAGTGGGTAGAAGGGTAGCCCCTAGTCCCCTCCAAGAGCCTCTGTCCTGGTTGGGTCTGTCACAGGTTGGAAATGTTTTAATGAGACCATTTAATTGTTGAGTAAAATCCTGGGTCAGATCATATTCCATTTTTTTTATAGTAAGTAGCATTTGCCAGTTGCCTTTGGCCCTCTTGTGTGTATTTGTTTGTATCCATCGCAACAACTGCTCCCCCTTTATTGACTTGTTTGAAGGTGATGGCCTGATTGTTGCATAAAAGGTGTATAGCCTTTCGCTGCAGTGACAAAAGATTAAATAAAATCTTCTTTTGCTGGGTGGATATCAGGGATGTAACTCCCTGTGAAAAACGGCCAAACAAATCAGTATTTAACTGAATGAACCTCCAGCTGCAGTGTGAAGTGAAATATTTAGCATCAGTACTACTAACAATGCTAAATGTGACAGCTTTCTGCTCAGGGCTCCTGGTTGTCAGGGACCTGGCACCCACCAGTATCCTAAGAACCAATGTCTCATATCTGCCTGGCACATTTAGCTGTCAGCTGGAAAAATGTAAACAAAGGGATGAAAAAAATCTTGGAGACCTCTAAAAAATCCAGGTCTGGTATTCATTTTAAGGGAAAACCTCACACAAAAGTCAAGGGGGGAAAAAAAAAAAGCATGGGATCTCCCAAAAAGTCTATACGACATCCTTAACCTCTTTTGCGCCGGCTCCCTTTAAGAGGTTTCAGAAGCTGGGAAGCAGGGCGGAGTTTTAGGGTCATGTGACTCATGGAAAGGGCCCAATCTCCCCTTGCGATTGGGACCTTTTCCGATCATGTGACCGCCGTGACAGCGAATCACGGCGGTCACATGATCGGAAAAGGTCCCAATCGCAAGGGGAGATTGGGCCCTTTCCATGAGTCACAGACATATGTGCTGGTGGCACGCAGGGTGTGCACTCTCAGCACATATGTATTTTCAAATGGTACGCAAATATGTGTCACTCGGCGTCAAGGCCCAGACGCCGAGAAGCCGCATATTTGTGTGCGCTCGGCGTCTAGGGGTTAACCCAAGCATGCTGCCTCACTGGCCAAAAATGGGAAGGGTTGACCATGCAGCACCCTCCCTCATGAAACATACCAGGCCACATGCCCTCAACATAGGGGTCCTTGACAAAGGAGGCCTGCTGGAAGAAAAAAACAGCACCCTCCGAGACACACCTGGTCCATTCACTTCCCTCCCGCTGAATGACAGGGTGAGCGAAAGACAGCTGTTATATAAGTATAAGATCAGCAGAGAGTTAACAGAAAGGAATAAAGAGGGGGTAATCATTATTAGAAGACAGTTTCCACATATTTAATGAATATTTCCACATTTATCCATGATAGAATGTATTTGTACATACAAATAAAAAGTTCCTAATGCAGTGCTTCAATTAATCATTTCAATATTATTTGCAGAAAGTTCAAGAATTATTTCAAAGAATGGAACAAAAAAAATCCACCAGATGTACTGGAAAGACCTTGATTTTCAACAAATCCAGTTGGGCATAAATTATGATATTTATGTGAAAATTGTAAAGTCATGCCAGCAAGAGAAGAAACCAAAAATTGCAATGGATTGGAAGACTTTTGACAATTCTTGGCTGAAGGCATTGACTGTGTTAGCCCGGTTCCAGAGTTTTTTGAAAGATACTTGACTGAGGAAATTGTCATATTCCAGACAGAAAGCGATTCTGTCACAGCTCACCAAGAATACATAATAGATAGAAATCGTTAACCAATCTACTTAGCCAAAACATGTCAGTGGCTCTGTAACTGTCTAACGCTGTGAAGTTTTAAGCAATAAAAGTTCAGAAGTTTATTTTAGGGCTTCCGCACTTTCCATTTATGGATGGATATGATGGGGTACAGAAACCCAGCTGTTGAGCCAACAATTTATGGGCTTTATAGGCTAAGCGGTAGAGTTTATTTTGGAAAAACAAAATGACTGCAGTATCACTGGATGCATAGTTATGCATTTTTTTTTAAATAAATAGACCCCTAAAAGTCATCTTGAGGACCAGTGATACTTCAGATCAATTTATGCTCTAGTGGTTTGGACTCTGCCAGAGCCAAAGGCCAGACATTTTTTCATTTTTATCCAGTTAACTTTACTGTTTGTATTGACTATTAAAAATATTTCTTATGCATATATTTTCTTGTACTGTTTTCCTGTTTGTTTTTTACAAGCAATAATTTTAAATCTT